CGCACAGCTCAGGGAGGCAGACCAAGTAACAAACATCCCCATTCACAACATGAGGACTCCTCGTGGTGCAGTGGTTAGAGTGCTCAGCTGCTAAGTGAAAGGGTTACGGTTTGAACCCCACCAACTATTGTATTGAAGAAAGATGAGATGGTTTCCTTCCAGAAAGATTACAGCCTTGGAAACTCCAAGGTCCCCAGCCTGTTAGTCTCTTCTGCTTCAGAGTCACTAAGAGTTGGAATCCATTCAACATCAACAGACTTCAAGGTATATGGAAGTTAATGATCAGTGATTCTCCGTGAGACTCAGGTACCAGCTGCTTGAACTTCTTGTGTTTTGCTCACGATCATGTTTCTACAATTCAAAACAAAACTCATCCCAACGCATCAAGTTGGAATTGACTCACAGCTGACCCTCCAGCGGGTTTTTGGAGGCAGCAGGAGTGGCATCCACTTCTGAAATAACCTGCCTCCAGAAACCCTATGAACTGTGATAAATGTCGAGAGTTGTAGAGGGGCGTCAAGCTTTTTGTTCCTAGGGTCACTATGAGTCGTGCTTGACTCGAAGGCAATCAACAACTACAACAACAACAGGTCACATGAGAGGAGACTGTCCACTTTTCTTGCAGGGACCACTGGTGGATTTAAATCACCTGAGAAGTACCACCTTTGGGTTAAGAGCACAATGTCCTTTGGACTATGCCACCAGAGCTCAATTTTTCCAACCAAGGGCTACATTTTCAGATGCTCATTTCTTAACCTGTTAAGCAGTGTCAGATAATGGCACTTCACAACCACAAGTCTTCTAATCACTGCATGTTGCTAAGACAAGGCACATACATGTTAGATTGACTTATAAAAGCGCAATGAACTTGTGAAACATTACACAACATGGATGAGCCTGGAGGATGTTCTGCTGAGTGAAATATCTCAGTCGCAAAAGGACAAATATGGCATAAGACCATGGTTATAAAACAGGACTGACGATATCATCTCACCCCTGTAAGAATAGCACAATTTAACAGAACACCAAATAACAAATGCTGGCTAGGCTGTAGAGAAACTGGAACCCTTATTCACTGTTGGAGACAGTGTTAAACAGCACAGCCACTATGGAAGGCAGTATGGTGCTTTCTCAAAAAATTGCAAATAGAAATACCATTTGACCCAGCAATTCCAGTAATGGGAATATACTGTGAAGAAATGAGAACTGCCACCCAAGCAGATATATGCAGATCCATGTTTATTGTGGCTTTTTTCACAATAGCAAGGAGTGGGAAACAACCCAAATGCCCATCAACAAACAAATGGATAGAAAAACTGTGGTATATTCACACAGTGGAATACTATGCTGCACTGAAAAATAAGGAACTCATGAAATATTATACAAAATAGGAGACCATGGAGGACACTATGCTGTGTGAAGTATCTCAGTCACAAAAGGACAAATACTGCAGAGTGCCACTGTTGTAAAGCGAGTCTGACATGGGAGTTGGGGGGAAATTAAAAGTGGATAAATGATGTATTCAGCATTAAGACAGATGAGGGAGAGAACTGTTTAGGAGGAATATATGATTAGGTATTATTGTCATGACAAGAGTCCAGAATGAAAGCTGCATAGAGGAGTGGACTGGAGGACAGAGGCCGTATAACAATGAAAGAATTTTTTTTTTACTTTTCAAACAGAAAAGTGAACTGGGGCAGGGGGCGGGGAGGAAAGTGTGCAACAATGAATGAATGGAAATTCAAAGTCTCTGTAAACATTCATTGAAACAAACAAAAAAACCCCAACCCAACAAAACAAAAAACCAGGACTGGCATGGGGGGGGGAGGCGGTTAGGGAGCAGAATAGGAAAAGCATGGATAGATAATGAACACTACATGAGAGGAAGAACGGTACAAAGGGATATATGCTTAGACTGGAACAGTACATCAGCAGAGAACTGCCAGAAGTCCAGGCTGGGTTTAGAAGGGGTCGTGGTACTAGGGATATTGTAGCTGATGCTAGATGGATCTTAGCTGAAAGCAGGGAATACCAGAAGAATGTCTATCTGTGTTTCATTGATTATGCAAAGGCATTTGACTGTGTGGATCATAACAAACTGGGGCTGACTCTGAGAAGAATGGGAATCCCAGAACATTTAATCGTGCTAATGCGAAACCTATACTTGGACCAAGAGGAAGTTGTCAGAACAGAGCAGGGTAACACTGCATGGTTCAAAATTGGGAAGGGTGTACGCCAGGGATGTGTCCTATCTCCATACCTTTTCAACCTGTATGCAGAGCAGATTATCAGAGAGGCTGGGCTCTATGAGGAGAAGTGTGGCATCAGGATTGGTGGAAGATCTATTAACAATCTGTGTTACGCAGGTGACACAACCCTGCTTGCTGAAACTGAGGAGGACCTCATGCACTTGCTGCGAAGGGTCAAGGACTGCAGACTTCAGTATGGACTGAGGCTCAATGTCAAGAAGACAAAGATTCTCACCACTGGACCAATTGGTTGCATCAGGATGGATGGCAAAGAGATTGAGATTGTTCACAGCTATAGTTTGCTCAGCTCCACGGTCAACACTCTTGGCACCAGCAGCCAGGAAATAAAAAAACGTATTGCGACGGGAAAGTCTGCTGTTAGGGACCTCTCTAAAGTACTCAAGAGCAATGGTGTCTCTCTGGAGACTAAAGTGTGCCTGATACAGGCCGTGGTCTTTGCAATCACTTGTTATGCATCAGAGAGTTGGACAATGACTAGGGAGGACAGAAGGAGAATTGATGCCTTTGAGCTGTGGTGCTGGAGAAGAGTTATTTCGAGTACCATGGACTGCCAAGAAAACAAACAGATTCATCCTGGAAAGGGTTAAACCAGGCTACTCCTTGGAAGCAAGGATTCTGGGGCTTCGTCTGACATACTTTGGACAGGTTGTAAGGAGGGACAGATCCTTGGAGAGGGACATCATGCTTGGTAGGGTGGAGGGACAGCGCAGGAGGGGAAGACCTTCTATGAGGTAGATTGATTCAGTGACTGGGATAATCGGGATGGGTCTGTCAGAGGCAATGCGATTGGCACAGCATAGAGGAGGGTTTAGGGCTGTTGTACATAGGGTCACTATGAGTTGCAAACGACTCGACGGCACATAACAACAACAATAACAATTATATTCATGACAACAATCGGGAATAAGAGGTGCACTGCAAAGTGGATTAGGGTGGGCGTAGGGAGGGGGAGGAAAGAAAATGTGCAACAATGAATGCACAAAAAAAAAAAGAAGAAAAGCTTGAATAGTCAAATTGGTTAGAATAGATTTTATAACTGTGTCATCAATGAAAGGGAAAGTGCTGAGGAGAAATAAGTGAATATCAGTAATAAAGAATGCAAAGAATCAAGTGTGTCACTTCCATTTACATTTCCATGTATTACAATACAGTGTAGATTAATATCACTGGGATCTCATATTTAGCCATTTGCACTGTCTTTCAGCAGTCTACTATGGAACAAATGAGCCAGTGTCCATGGAGGGCAGCCCCATCCAGCAATGACCAGACAGCTAGTTGACCTTCACAAGAATCCACATGAGGACAGAACTTTTTATCTCTCAAATAAAACCTGGGCAGAGCATCTCTTTATTTTCAGAGATAAAATGACTATCAAGATTACCCATTACATTGCTAAAGTTGGCCCATTAGCAAACTTCTTTCAGAGTATGAGTTGAAGGGAAAAAAGTCCACCTACATTATACTTACTTTTATTTGATATTAAAAATTATTTGGACGATTGTGAAGCTCATGAGTTCTGGAATTTTTCCTTTTCCTTTTAATTTTTTATCTTTGCTTTCAAATTTGCTTTGCAAATTCTAATCTTTTGTTAAAGGAACTGAAATCCCACTAGTGTTTATGTGTTATCTCCAAACTGAAAAAAGCACTGCCTGAACAAATCAGTTCACAGAAAGCTTGAAGCTGGCAAGGGATTAGAATAAAGCAGGGCTTCAAACAGGTTCTTCACGGTCCAGTCATGGCCAAGAAAGTGAAACTGAAATGGACTCGCATTCGTAAAATTTGAGTGTACCAGAAGGCAAAAAAATTCTAGCCAGAACTGGCGAGAAACTTAATCCCCCTCTTGTAAAACAAGGGCAGCGTGTGTACTGCAAAGCAACTAAATCTCCTGACAAGAGGAGTTAAAAGAAACAGCATCGTGCTCAAAGATGGTGGCTGACCATGCTACTCGGGACATGTCTCCTCCACAGTCCAGACCATGATCTAATCGCCCACCTCAGGCTCCTGAAAGAGCTCACTGTGCTCTAAGGATCCCATACCAGTGCTTCTGGGTAAATTTTTTCCCCCCATGTTCTGGCTATCTTTCTCTTTATTCATATCTTACAGTTTTGAGTTTATTCTGATTTTTCTGCCTTGGCCATGATGGAAATGGTTTGAAACAGTTTGAAACCCTAGAATAAAGAGTGATTACTAATTCTGATTTTTGCACCTTACCTATCATATTTCTAATTATGTCAAGAGGTGCTATACACAATCTTCAAAAAAGAGAAGACATTTTCTGAGAGCATTTCTAAACCAAATCATCGATGGGAATAAAAATCCAGAAAAAGGCCAGGAAAGCAGAAAATAACACGTCTTGTGTGCTTGTTGTTAGATTAATTCAGGGGAGGAGCTTAAAGGAAGAGATAATGTAATCCCCAAAACAAATAGACTCCCCAAACGTAAGAGAAATCCAGAAAAATATCCTGTGTGTTTCAGTTTATGAATCTAGACATTAAAAGCATCACTAGTCCATACTTTGAAAAGCACAATAGGATACAAAGACATCAGGTGGTTCCTTAAAACACTCAACTCCTGTCTGGCTCCCAGACACCTTACCTGGGTGATGAGGAAGCCTGATGTGTTTATACAGCTAAGTGTGGTGGCTGACACAGAATTGATTCCCCAACCTGGTGGTGAAAACGTGGCTGAGCCTATAGTGTGGCCATGGCCCCAGCGCCGAGCGGTACTCACATTAAGCTCGGTCGGTGCCACTGCGTGGTCCTGTTGTTGTGGTTGACGTAGTAAGTCCGGCCTAGATTGTCCACTTTCTCCTCCCACCCAGGGGGCAGAGGAGGAGGGGGAAGCTCCTCTTGGTGCTGAGAGGCTGAATCATTGGAGTCGACCACCTCCCAGCCATGCTGAGGAATGAAAGGAAGCGGCGATTACGGGCTGAAGATGTGAGGGAAAGATAATTAACATGCATCCTGTCATCGTCTGCATGGTGGGTCTTGCAATACCTTCAAGTATCACAAGATAATAGATTTCCACAGAAGGGTAAAAACCAATTCTAGAAGTTTCTAGAATATGCTGAGCCCTGGCCAACTGACTGTGTTACCTTCTAGAAGACTCCATAACATACATGGCTTCTTAAGTTACTTAAGTCTGTCACATTGGACTCGTAAACAAAATAAAAAGAAAAAATGGCAAACTTCATTGGAATTGAGTGGGACCCAAGTCATCGCTGACCCTGCACTGTGTTTGTGAGACTAGAAAGTGAACAAGAGGAGATTGCCCATCTCCCTCAGAGCCTTTCGTGGATTTGAACCAGTGAAGAGGGGCCTCTGGCTTAGAAGGGCACATCGCTATGGAGGACTCCACCAGAGCTCCCTACTCTTTTCAAATTCTATTATTTAGGATTTTGATCATGAAGGAGCCCTAGTGGTGCAGAGGTTAAAGGGTGTGGAGGCCAACTGAAAGGTGGGTGGCTGGACCTCTCTGTTCCCTCTGCAGGGGGAAAGATGAGGTACGTCTGCTTCTGTAAAGACTTGTCACCTTGGAAACCCCATGGGCAGTTCTACTGTATCCCACAGGGCTCTGGTGAGTCAGAATCGACTCGCTGGAAACTGGTTTGGTTGGTTTATCTCGACTGTACAAATAGCACCAGTGACATGCGGAAAGCCACACTGCGAGCGCTCTCTTTTCAAGGGGACCCGGGAGCCGTGTTGCTGGTACATTCTTTCAAGAAGCCCCAGTTCTCCCCAGAGCTCTCTGGGAGCTGCCCTCACAGAAACGGGCTTCTTGGGACCAGAGCCGGTGTGACATTTTGCAGTGCATATTTCAGGCATTAAGTCTTTCTTTCCTTGTATCCTCTGGTAAAGCTGCTGGAAAATTAAGTAATTCACTGGTTACTGCAGTTGGAAGGTTTGGAGAGTGTGAAGAATCACTTGTGTTTGAGATAAAAATCTGTAGCTGGGCTTATGCAATGCTCACATGCATCCATGATTACATCCACTTCACTGTTCCTCACATACAGTGTGAGATGACAGCTTCTGAGGCAAATCCAGCTGAAAACTGGGCCTCATGGTCTGCAGGGCCTTGGCGGACCTGCCTGTAACACACGATTCCCATGTCATGTAAATTCAACAGCTGGAGATGTGAGAGTTAGCCCAAGAGAGGCTTTGTTGAAAAGGCATTTTCAGAATAAAATGGGGCCAAAAAAATCTGTACTGGGCAGGTGGTGGGGGTGGGGGTTTGGCATTAATATGCGACAGGAGTTAAGCACTAAAGTGTAACTATTTAATAAAATATAACACAAGAGGGGGCAGAGAGCATCATGCTGCATGAAATATCTCAGTTTCATAAGGACAAATACTGCATATGGTCATTATTGTGAAAACAGAATAACTGAGTAAGATATGTATAAATGTGCTAAAGGGGAAATGAGGGGTAGAAAAAGGGGACGAGTGGGGAAAAAAAATCACTGGGACAGCAGAGGTTGGAGGATGGAGAGGAGGGTAGAAAAATGGGAATGTTCAGTGGGGACCTGAAGAGATAGATTGATAACAGGCATAGATCAATGTCAATGATATCAACGATAATGTATGTGATTGTATAAAACACAAGGTACATGAATGAAACACAATGTCTATGAATGACTGTATGAAACACAAAATGCGTGTACAAACATGATACACATGATTACATGAAAACCAATAAAAAACGTAAAAAAAAAGGATAATGTCTTATGCAGTATTGGTCCTTATGAGACTGAGTTAGTTTACTTAGTCCAATGGTGATTAATTTTATAAAACATACTATAAAGGAATGATTGTATGAAGTGTAACGTCAGTAACGGAAAGTGTGAAACACAAAAATCCCCCACCATGTATATGAATGAAACACAATGTCCATGAATAACTATATGTATCCCAGTAAAATTTAAAAAAAGGGGGGGAAAGGCAAAAAGGAAAATTCTCCTGGACCACTAACTCCCAAATGGCATTTTTAGACTAAGCTTTCCAACAAGTTTTCTATCACCTGTGTGACAAATAAAAAAGAAACTTGGGAAAGATCTTCTAAATCATGTGATTTGCTTTGAAACAATTCAAAGTGCTGAGAGGAATTTAGAAAGAGTAGAATGTCTGTTGCACTGGCCGAATTCATCAGGTGAGGAGAAAGTTGCACATTGGTAAGGGGGTCAGTGAGTTAGAGGTAGCCTGTATATGAAGAAGAATGTAAAAAAGCCAAGCGTTCCTCATTCTCGTTTTTCTAAATAAATGAAAGGTTAAATTTTCAAAGACACATATTTATGGATGCAGGCTGAGCTTACCCGCTAAGGTAACCTTTGTAAACTTTTATTTCCTTGGAGTAGAGACTCACATCTTAAAGTAAAGCATGAATACATTCGTAGGCAAAGCAAAATCAGCTCACCTCCATGTCGTCCCTCTGTTCACTGTTCTCATCATCCTGGCCTCCGTTTTTGGGCATATAAGCCATTTTCAGTCGCAAAAATCCCTTGACTCGAGATTTGTGACTGCAAAATGGAAGAAGATTGGTTACAAAACATATGATGACCTGCTACGGCTTTTCACAAGGATGACAACTTTGGGTTTTTAATAAAAAAAAATTTCTTTCCTTATGGTCTTGAGAACATATACCAATTCAAGTTTCCACACGTACCACTTGATAACACTGTCTACCTGCTTTGAGTTTTCTCTTACATTTTCTTTCCTGCGTAATTTCTACCCCCTAAAAATAAATCCACTGGCCCCTAAAATTCCTGTCTTTCAAGAAGCTATTATCACAATGTGATCCCATGTAGATAGTTCTTAAGAGACAGTCTTTTTAAGGAAAATGATGACGCTGTATGAGAAGAAATAAAAAAAGAAGTTGAAATCTCAGAAAACCACCAAAAATCTTCTGTCTCTACATAGAAATACACACTCCCACTCAGTCCCAGTGACGAAAGCACACACACACACCCAGCCTCACCTTCTCGGTCTGAGGAGAAAATCCTTAAAGGTATAGGGTCGCTCCATGGTTGGATCTTCCGTCTGCAGAAAAGAGAGATGAAATATGCCTTAATATTCTTGGTAGTTTTGTATTTTTGATAGAACAGACTGGACTACACCGGATTTCATATTTTAGAACAATAGCACAGCTGAAAGAGAAACTGACTTCAAAACCAAAACCTAAACTTATTGCTGTCGAGTTGATTCAAGTCCTGAAGATGTAACAGTTCAGCACAGAACTGCCCACAGGGCTTCCAAAGCTGTGGTTTTCATGGAAGGAGATGACGCCATCTTTTCCCACGGAGCAGCCGGTGGGTTTGAACCACTGACCACAGAAGAGAACTTAACCAATGTGCCACCAGAGTTCTGTCCACAGCCCGTACTTGTCAATTAATTAAACATCAGATAGGCCACTACGCTTCATCTACTCAAGATCCACTAGATGTCACTGTCACCAGCAGTTTTTTTAGACATCAACTCCAGCCATGGACAAATGACAAAATTACAGCCATTCTCGCCAGCTGTAATTTCTAACCGCAGGGGGCAGGCCTCAGGCTCACTGGGCGGGTTCAGTGTCTCAGCCCCAGTGGGTACCGGTGACCTGCTGGCTCTGTGACTCAAGACACCTAAAAACAGAGTTAGCAGGACAATTTTCAAGAGCTAATTTTTAAGTGTCATTTTTTTCTTTCGTCTCCTTCAAGGAGGGCTGGCTGTCTCAGGCAGCACCATCCACATAGGATGCTGGAGCCTAGACGACGAAGCTCTGAGTGTGACCTTCAACGCTGAGCACCTTCGGAGAAGTCAGCACACATTCTGTGGCCGGTCAGAGCAAGCAGGCCATGGGAAGAATAAATATTACTATTTCATTCAGAAAGTACAACCAAGGTGCTCTTTGGAGGCAAGGATGCTAACGCTTCATAGCACGATGTTAGGAGGGGTCAGTTCTTGGAAAAGGACATCATGCTCGGTCAGCATAAGAGGAAGCCCTTCAACAAAATGGATGGACACAGCCACTGTACCAATGGGCAGAAGTAGATCAGAGACAGTGAGATGGCACAGGACAGGGCAGGGTTCAGACCTCTTGTTTACAGAGTTGCTGTGAATTGTTGTTGATCTGATGGCACCTAACAACAACAACAACAACAAGCTCTCGCACATAACAGCTGTGAGGATGACGCTGGACTGAGAAGTGCTTCCTTCTGCTGTGACACAGGGTCACGGTGAGTCACTCCAACTTTACAGCATCAACACCACCACTACCACCCCCACACGTGTGTCGTAAAACCTCGGATATCTACACCCTCCAATTAAAATTTAAAAATATTTACTTCTGTACCAAGAGAGACAAGCCATCATATAATGACGTGTTATTGTGTCATGTGTGCATACGAGGGTGTTTATATTAGAAATGTTGATCTGCTGATGTCACTTCCTGCTTTAATGCCCATTAGCTTCCTATTGCTCTCAGAATTAAATCAAAGTCCCTTCCTGTGGATGTCAGGGTCAAATGTGACCCAGCTCTTACCTACCTTTAGGCTCAATGGGAGTCTCTGTTCACTCTTCACCCTCCAGCCATCCTGGACTCTCTACCCTGTCAGCCTATGACATCTAAGGCTGCTTTAGGGCCAGTGCTCTGCAGTCCCCACTGCTGGACAGCTCTGGTTGCAGGTGGCCCAGCGTTGTCCCCACTCTGCCCTCAGGGTCTGGGTGCCAAGTCAGCCTCAGAAACCTCAGCCTAAATCACCAACAGACATCGACCCTTGTTGCCTTCTATCATCCTCATCTGCTTATCACAATCTGTAGTGATTCTGTCCAGCTACTTACATCATCTAATCCTTCTAGAATGAAAGCCCACGGGACAGAGATTTAGCAGCATACCCTCAGTGCCAACAATGCTGTTTCGTGAAAAGCATTACTTTTGTGTGTCAACCCATATAGTTGGAACCAACCCATTGCTGACTTTCCAGCGGGTTTTCAGAGACAATAAATGGCATGGGGTATTGTCCAACCTTCTCCCACGGAGCAGCTGGTAGATTCAAACCATGTGCCTTTGGGATTACTGTGCAGCTTCTTACCACTACTCAGGCCACCAGAGCAGGCACTGCAATAAGCAATTAATCAGTTCATCTAAATGTACAGTAAACCACCCAGGCCTCCAAAGTTTATCATCACTGAAGAAGGTCATATTCTCTAGATTATTCTCAGAGTCCTGGTGGTGGAAAAATTAAGCACTCTGTTGTTGTTGTTGTGTTCCACGGAGGTGGAAGCAACCCATAGCTGACTCTCCAGCAGGTTTTCAGAGGCAGTAAATCGCACAGGAGGACACTGTCCATCTTTCTCCTTTACAGCAGCTGTTGGGTCCAAACTGTGTACTTTTGGGGTTGGTAGCACAGTTCCTTTCCACTAAGCCACCATACGTTGGTTGCTAACCAAAAATTTGGAGGTTTGAACTCATCTGGTGGTTCTGAAAGAAGGAAAGACCCAGAGATCTGCTTCCATAAAAGACTAGCACTGTTGAGTGAAATATCTCAGTCGCAAAAGGATAGGTGTTGCATGGCGCCACTATTGTAGAATGGGACTGACTGACATCAGGGTTAGAGTGAGACTGAGAAAAATTGAATTATGTATACTGCATTGAAACAGATGAGGGAAAGAACTGTTTGAAATTGATAGATGATTGGGTATTATGGTTATGACAAGAGTCCAGAATGAAGGCTGCATAGTGGAGTGTACTTGGTGGGGGGTAGGGGGGCGGCGGGATTCTATACCAATGAAATAATTTTTCTTTTACTTTTCAAAGAGAAGAGAGAACTGGGGGGAGGGGTGGGCAGGGAGAAAAATGCAACAATGAATGTATGGAAATCCAAAATCTCTATAAAGGTTCATCAAAATGAATTTAAAAAAAAAATAAATAAAATCAGAGACGGTGTTAAAAAAAGACTAGCATTGTGAAGTGCCAGTTCCTGACTCACAGCAAGCTAGGTGGCAGTGTAGAAGTTCTGCACTTTTCAATCGCGTGTTTTGCATCTGAAAGTTGGACATGGACTAAAGATGGCAGGAGAACGGAGGCCTGTAATTGCAGTGCTGGAGAAGAGTACTGACTATCCTCTGGGCAGGAAAAGGAACAAACGGACATATCTAGAAGGAAGTGCGACCCGGGAGTTTGATGCTTAGAGGCGAGAATGGCCAACTTTCATCTCACATACTGTGGGCATGTTTTTAGGAGGGGCCGCTCCTTGGAGAAAGACATCATGTTGGGAAAGGTGGAGGGTCAGCGTAAGAGAGGAAGATTTTCAACAAGATGTGTTGTCACAGTGACTGTAACAGTGGGCTCGAGCCTATGAGAAAGGATTAGCATGGCCCAGGATAGAGCGAAGTTCAGGCACGTTGTTCACGAGGCTGTGAGGAGTCGTACTTGGCCCAGTGGCACCTGACGAAAACAGTAACGATCTTCACAGAAGTAGGTCAGCTCTCTGGAGGAAAGCCCAGTAAAGACCGAGAACCGGGGGGGTCCTGTAGAAAGCCGTCTGACACACTGGTGTGACCAGGATGGAGGATGCTGGCCAAGACGGATGCTACTGCTGTATGAACATCCAAACGAGAACCTTCTGGACGCGCAATGCTCGCATCCTCCTAGAGAGATGAGCTGCTTTCAGCAGCACAGTGACTGATGTGACACGTGGCGAAGCAGACATAGGTGATGGGAAGGAGTGAATCTGAGCAGGACCCTTGAACTCAGAGCCTGGCTGTGGCCACTGAAAGCACCAGGGCCTGTGGTGGCCACTCCTCTGCTTCTGAATGCCTTCCATCCCCCGCTGACAGGTGCCTGGCCTAGCACTGTCTCTGACCTGCTCATCTTTGGATCACTTCTTCCCTCTGCAGGTCCAGGATGCCCCATCCATACAGCACAGGGAAAGTCTGTAAGGTCCCTTCAGGCTCTGTACCACTGGATTCTGCATGTGTCATAGAGAACTTTCTATTGTTGTCAGGGGCCCTCAAGGCAGCTACGACTCATAGAGAGCCAATGAACAACAGATCGAAACCTTGCCCTACCATGTGCGAGCCTCACTATTTCCTGCATGGAAGTTAGAGGGAAGCGTGTAATAGGCCATTAATAAATACAGGAGGGGGGAAATGCTAAGGAGTCCTGGTGGTGCAGTGATGGAGCACATAGCTGCTAACTGAAAGGTCGTTAGCATGACCCCACCAGCTGGTCCACGGGAGTCAAGCCCTCACAACTGGCCTCTAAAGATTTCAGCCTACGTCAACCCTATGGGGAAGTTCTACCCGACACAGGGTCACTACCCATCAGCACGGATTCAACGGCACTTTGTCACCACCACAACAGGACGCTGATGACAGCTGTCTTCAAGCACAGGTAACGTGCCAACACCACCACCACCTGAAAAGAACTCACTCCAGGAAAATCCAGAATTTGGAGCTGACCTCCCAGCTGCCTCTCATTAACATCCAAAAAGGGTTTGAAAGGGTTTGAAAACTGTTTAAAAGAGATATGTGACTAGGTATTTCTGTCATCACAGGAGTCTAGAGCGATGGCTACATGGTGGAGGGGACCTGGGGGAGGGTTTGTAAAACAATGAAAGAATCTTTTCTTTTACTTTTCCATAA